AAATTTGAGCTTGCCTCAAGGCAAAGCTCAAATCAAAGCCCTCAAAGCATAAAAAACAAACTCCCTGAGAGTCCTACAGCATAGACAGTATCACATACCACATGCCTTAAGTTTTCCTAACTGATGGATGCCTTGCCAGACAGGATTCTGATACTGTGCTTCAAAGTATTATATAAAAACACATCTATCAAAAAAAATATATTATATAAAAACATATTTACTGAAGTATCCTAAACCCTTAACATGTTGCATTCTATGGGGGCAATGTCATTGAAGTGGGTGGAAGCCACACGCTTCTCTTACTTTCGCTGTGGTTTGCTCAACTAAAACCGATGGTTTGTCTTAAGTCTGATGTGAAACCATGACCAACCATCATTAGCTTTTTAAAGATGGGCATGTCAATGCACAAACTTCTATCTATTTTAGATATTTGTAAAGGCAAAATTATCAATACCTGTACCTCGTCTGAATCCATAAAGTTTGGCCCTTTTTTTGCATTCAAAGGAAATGGATCCTTGAGAACATCTACTTTGCCCAACTGAAAATCCCCTACACCTGAAACATGAACCTAATTCAAAGAAATAATAATCACATGAAGCTGACAATGCCATTCTAATTCAATCAACATAATCAATCCAACGATGAACAACTTACTAGCTGGTTCACTGAGAGACTGCGAGAGCGGAGATAACCAGATAGGAGAAGGGTACACTTTCCTGGATTGCAATCATCAGGTACCAAATCAACCTGCCAATTATTAAGACAGATTACTTAATTCTCTATGAATAAAATACCTAAGGTTAAAATTAAGTATGTAGAGAACCATATAAAACAAAATGGACCTCAACAGTTCAAAACCATCACTTCAACAGTTCCTAGTCCCCTTCCTCCCAAAACAGCCAGCAGTAATAACAACAAAGGTGATATTGGAAGTGGTGACAGAAATGCCTATCTTGGAGAGGAAGAAGACAAAGAGGGGGGCCTAGGACAACTCTTTTAAAAAAAGCAAATAACAAGCCCAAATTGCATTTGCATAACTTTGTTTATTAAAGAAATATAACTGTTTATTAGAATTCTTGGGGACTAGGAATTGCTAAACAGAGCAGAGTGCCAACCAGCTGGTTGGTAAGGTCTCCTGCTGGTCGTAGTGGAGACTTGGGATCGAATCCCACCTACACCTGGGTTGAGGGGCTATGGGTTGGGGGATGGGCTACCCCTGTTGTGTAGCCTTTCAGAAGATATCAAAAAAAAAAAAGGAATTGCTAAACAGACATGGAAAGCTCATAGAGAACTTAGTGTTCCACGAATAATTGTGAGGATTTAAACAACACATACATGCATAGCTTTTGAAAGAATACCTCTTGGGCCATAAGGTAAGGTCGTTGGCTTCGCCAGTGAGGAACTGTTAACCTTTGCTCTTTAAAAAGCCATATGAACTGCCAACCAAAAGAGTATGTAATATATGGAATAAGGAAATTGACAGGCATGATGAAAATCATGACCAACAGAAGCAGAATATAACAGATCCTATTCAAACTCGGATATCATAAAATGCTCGGTTTGCAAGTTTTAAGCTGGGAGAGTATTATGCATACACTATAACCTTATGCAACTCATCCTTTGTATCTGCTGGATAAAATTTACAATCCTCAGGAAGTTCAGATGCGAGGCTAGAGAAGCATATCTTCTTCAACTCTTGTCTTCTTTTCTGCTCCACCGGCAGATCCTAAGACATGCAAGCAAAAGTATTAGCCTCCAACTCATGAGGAACTTCTCAAGAAAGAGAATGAATCATAGATGCACACTCACACGAAGCAACACAGCAGTGCCAGGTAAACCAATGGCTCTAAAGACAGAGAGGCATTGAGCTCCAAAGGAGTCAATATAACTGGAGCCTCCTTCACAATACAAGCTAGCTGATGCTACGAAAGCAATCAAATCAGCAACCTAGGATCAAACATGCAACCAAGAGTTAACCAAAAGAAAAGGCATTGTCAGGGATGTAAAATATCTACAAGCCACTAGAACCAGGAAAGAAAGCTAACACCCTGCTTGATCAAATGACTAATACCTTGGCCAATTCCATGCATGATAATAAATCTCCATGAGGTGCTTTCAAGACCTAGGAAAGACAAGCAAATATTTAGACATATATAGTTGATGCATGTACCAGCAAGTTACATGCATCAAGTGATAATGTATTCAAATAGACAAAAGAGTTCTCAATTTTGTTTTAGTCCTTTTTCTTCCACCCCAACTCCTCTCCCTAATCCAACTAGCCATTGTAACATACTGTGGATTGTTCTTTTCCCTTGAAAAGGGTTTATAATAATTATAATATTACTCCACAAAAGGACACTGTTATTTTTGCAGAGAATACAATGAAAAGTGGCAAATATAAAAGAATGAGAGAGTTAATCTGGAACATACTGTTATTCGAAGTTTGTAATTCGGAGAAGCAACTGTTGCAGAACTGGCTTCTGTACCCTCTGGAGATAATAATGCTAAAAGATCTTTTGCAACTGCATTTAGTTTTACAGAGGCAGAAAGTCCAAAAAGGACCTGTTGACAACATCATGAGAAGATTAAAAAAAATCATACACACAATTAACTTAGGGAACTTCCCTATATCTAGCAAAATATAATCTACAGGCATTTATGATCAACATTGACTTTTTTGGTACCCTGTGTGCAGCTATTGGTTGTACAGGCTATACATCTATATTGCCAGGACATGTATAACAATGGAGCTGCTTTTCGCTAATGATTCCATGATATTATTATTTTAAACTAGCACATCGATCAAAAACAAATAGAAAGAAATAAAGAGAGTTCATAGAATGGGTTGGTTCATTTGTCCTTACAAGATTACAAGAATCATGGTTCATGAGCATCATGAACTGATAAACCATGGTTACAGACTTGGTCATGAACCAGATTTAGCACTACTTTGATGCAAAACAGTGCTCCCAAAACAATTTGACATAACCAGGTGACAGTGCACTCTAGTACCATAAAACAATGTCACAGACTTAGAGGTAGAATAATCACAAAGAAGAAAAAAAGATCTGAAGTGGAAAGGCTAATCTCAGACATTGAGGGAGATTTAGAATTTTTTAGTGGTAGAGGGGATAGGAGGAAGGGCCTAAAATGAGGAGATTATGGCCTTTTCATGGGTGTTTTTGCTATTTTCTCTCGATGAAAATTATTAGCTAGAATGTAAGAGGGTTAGGGAGTGCAAGAAAGAGAAGGGTGACCCAAGACCTACTCCGAAGGGAAAAACCCGATATTGTGCTATTACAAAAATCCAAAATGATGGAATTAGATGGGAGATGGGTGAGGAGTTTTTAGAGGTCTAGAGGCTTAGATTAGCTCGTCTCCTTCTTGGGGCGCCTCGGGGGGATCGTAACACTGTGGAGGGAGGATGTGGTGGAAGTAGTGGAAGAATTGAWAGGCARATTCTCAGTTTCCATTAAGTGTAAGAATGTAGAGGATGGGTGTGTATGGGTCGTAATCAATGTTTATGGCTCTAATTCATAGAGAGAGGAATGAGATGTGGGAGGAACTATATGCAACCAAGGGGCTATGGTATGGCCCTTGGTGCCTGAGCGGGGATTTTAATGTCATTAGATTCTCTGATGAAACCAATAATCCCCAACAGGTAATTACAACAAGCATGAGGAAATTTAATGGTTTTATTGAAGAATGTGAATTTAAGGAAATACCTCTAATGCAAGCCAGTTACACTTGGTCCAACCTTTAGGAAACCCCTTTGTATTCGAAGTTGGACAGGTTCTTATTTAACCTTACCCGGGAGAATAGTTTGGAAAACTTGGTTGCTAGAGTGTTACCCAGGGTTATCTCCGATCATTGTCCTATCCAGATAGGTACTGGGTTTTTTCCTACAGGACCCAAACCTTTTAGATTTGAAAATATGTGGCTTACCCATCCAGATTTTGTGAAAAAAGTGAAGGAATTTGTAGACAATCACATTATAAGCCCTGGAATTAATGCCACCTTTTTGGCCTTGATACCTAAGAAGAATGATGTCAACCACCCAAAAGATTATAGGCCTATTAGTCTGGTGACAAGCATCTATAAAATTCTGGCTAAAGTGCTCTCGTTGAGGATCAAAACAGTCCTCCCTTCTATCACTAGTGAAACCTAGGGGGCTTTCATTCAAGGGCGACAAATAACAGATCAGATCTCAATTGCGAATGAGTGTGTGGAGGAAATGAAAAGGTCTAGGAAGAGAGGTTTCATTTGTAAATTGGATCTTGAAAAGACCTATGATTTGGTGGACTAGGAGTTTCTATTAGAGGTAATGCGAAACTGTGGATTTGGGGACAAGTAGGGTAATTGGACTTTTTGGGTGTATCAGTACTTGTCACTACTCTATTCCAGTAAATGGTATGGTGAGGGACTTTTTTCCAACTTGCAGGGGTGTCAGGCAAGGGGATCCACTCTCACCCTTCCTTTTTACGTTAGTAGCTTATGTGATTAGTAAGATCATTACTAAGGTTGACAATGAAGATGCCATTAGGGGTTGGAGAATAGGGAGACACCAAGTCCCCGCCACCCACCTTCAGTTTGCAGATGACCTAGAGATCTTTTGTGAAGGAGGTTTTAGTGAAAAGGTAGCAAACCTAAAGGAGCTAATCAAAGGATTTGAAAGCATTTCTAATTTGAGAATAAATTTGGAAAAGAGCTGCATAGCGGGTATAAATTTGGAGGTAGGGGAGGTCGAGGCTATTGCGGAGTGTCTTGAGTGTTCCACCTCTGCTTGGCCTATGTCATATTTAGGGCTTCCTTTAGGGGCAAATCCTAGGGAGAGTAGATTTTGGACCCCAGTGATAGAAAAGTTTGAGAAGAGATTAGCCTCATGGAAGAGGAACTATGTCTCTTTAGGATGGAGAATTACCCTAATAAGAGCTACCTTGGCTAACTTACCTACCTATTTTTTGTCTGTTTTTAGGATACCAGTTAGAGAAGCTAGGAAACTGGAGAAGTTGATGAGAGATTTCTTATGGAAGCCGGGACAAGAAAAAAATGATCACTTAGTTAATTGGAAAATTGTGTGCAGAAGTAAAGAAGGGGGGTTTGGGACTTGGGGAGGGTAACTAGAAAAAATCAAGCTCTATTAGGGAAATGGTTGTGGCGATGGCCATTGGAAAGAGAGACATTGTGGCATGAGGTGATGGGAAGAATTCATGGGAGGTCAGAGAATGGATGGGGATGTTGGTGTATCAAGGCAAGCTAACCTAGCAGCACCTTGGAAGGCCATTCACAACACCCTTCCTCAATTCCTCAATTTTATCAGGTATGAAGTTTGTTCTAGCAACACTGTTCATTTTTTGGAGGATATTTGGGTAGGAGACACACCTTTAAAGGATTTGTTCCCTTCGTTATTTTCTGTTTCTTTGTACAAAAAAGAGGTGGTCTCAAAATTTGTCTCACCTTTGGGAACACCATTAGATTCTACTTGGGATTTTGGGTTTCGTAGAGGACTTAGGGATGACGAAATTGAATCTCTTTCTGTCTTGCTTGGTTGTCTTAATCAGGTTTGTTTGGATCCCTTCAAGCCAGATAAGAGGGTATGGACTCCTAGACCCAATGGAACCTTCACTTGTGCTTCTTTCTTCAAGTCTATCTCTCAACTTTCTACTCACCAACCCTTTCCGTCAAAAGAAATTTGGTACAAGCCAATTCCCCAAAAAATTATGGCATTTTGTTGAGAAGTATTCCATGGGAAAGTAAACACTTTAGATAACCTACAAAAGATAAGACATTTCATCTATATTTCTCCTAATTGGGTGTATCCTCTGTAGAGTTCACGATGAGGATTGTTACCACTTATTAATATCTTGTCCCTTTTCTGCAGACCTTTGGGCTTCGCTACTTTCGTTGTTTGGGAGTAGTTGGAGTCTACCAGTAGAAGTTCACATGCTCTTCAACCATTCTACCTTTTATTGGCCTACAAAAATAGGGAGAATTATGTGGAGATGTGCTTGTGCTGCCTTGATTTGGACTCTTTGGGAAGAAAGGAATGTTAGAATTTTTCAAGAAAAGGAAAGGAGCAGTCAAGAATTGAAAGACTGTGTGTTAAATAGGGCAATACCTTGGCTGAAGACCTTGGAAATCTTTCATCAATTCTCCTTTAATGACCTTTGGAGAAATTGGTAAGCAGTAGTGAGGTGTTCATCCCTAAAGGATGAATCAGTTACAAGTTGGTCTCCTCCATCCGAAGGCTCACTGAAGTTGAATTTTGATGAAAGTAGCATGGGTAATCCAAGATTATCCGGAATGAGGGGTGCTTTGAGAAATGAGAAGGGAGAGATTTTGTTGCTCTACTCAGGTCCCTTGGGAATTGAGAACTCCATCAGGGCAGAACTTTTAGCTGTTATACAAGGAGTGCAATTTGCAAACCAGCTGGGGGTACAAAACCTAACAATCGAGGGAATTCCAAAGTGGTGGTGGGTTAGTTGAAAAGTCTTGAAGAGGCTATGTGGCGTTACAAGAATGAAATGAAGAAATTTAGTTGGTTGATAAGGAATATGTTGGTCACTGTACAGTGGGTGTAGAGATCAGCAAATACTTTGTCATATGTGTTAGCTAAGCAAGGGGTAAATAGGGAAGAATTGTTTTGGGCTCAGTTGTGATTATTGCTTTTCTTTCCTAGTTTACATGTAAGATTCAAGGAGGGGCTGCAGCTCGTGACTCTCCTTGGGATGTTGTATGAACTCACTCTAAATCTGCTTCTGAATTAATAAATTTATTATCATTCATCAAAAGAAATACTCACAATAACACGGGGTGGGCTAGAAGATCCACTTGAGGCCCTTTTCTCTTTCAAAAGTGCAGCTCGTTTCTGGTCCCGTGCCTACAATGATGTATAATTGGTTGAGATGCAAGCACAAAAACCAGCTAAATAGCGTGAAGCTTGGTTCACCCAATAAAGGCATAAAGAATAATTGGATTCCTCCTAGATGGATAAAGAATAATTAGAAAATAACAAGAAAAAAAGTGAGGACAGAACTATGCCTCCCAATACTCTGATTCCCAGGAAAGCTAGTTCGATCGTTGAAACATTGAGACACTAAGTTTCCATGGGCAAAACAGACAAATATCACAATTGAAAATAATGTTTTATGGGGGATACGTGAAGTAAACAAAGAAGTGTGTAGATAACCGGAAGGGATTGTACAACTCAAGACTGACGGTTTATATCCTGCGTAACTATATTAGACAAATCCGCTGCTCTCGAAATTTTGCATTAATGGTCATTTGTTATAAATATCGAAATAAAAACCAAAATCGTAAAGCAATTTGAACCATCTTGTTACGCTGTATCCGAGCAGCACGAGCTCCCGTGACAACATTGCGTTCCGGTTTGGAAATTCTGCTCTTATCTAAATCATCACACAGAAACAAGTAGTGGTTAGTCAAAATAGCATGTAAACTTTAAAAAAAAAAAAAAAAAAAACAAAAACAAAAACAAACAAACAAACAAAACAAAACAAAACAACAAGCGAAAACTAAAGCAAAGCACGATGCTATGGTTATCGATAACTATGAACTAGGGAATCATGAATTAATGATTTGATAAATCACCTATTCGAGAAGTTTTGTGAACTTGACGAGAAGCTTTCGAAGAGAAGCGGCTCTTATGAGCTTTATTAACCTGAACTCGGGACCCCGCCATGAGAGCTTGGACAAGTGAGCACGGTAAGTGGCAGATGAACCCTACTTACTCCTGGCAAGCAAAACAGGATGATGCAACGATAAAGTATACCGCGGAAACCCTAGTCCATGATATTATTGTTTCTGCGAACCGGGTACTGTAGGCGGAGGGTTTTGGAGAGTCCCCAGAAGAAAAGAAGTTAACGAGTTCAAGGGAGTATTAAATACACGTTTTATTTTGGCCAAACCGAGGAGTAACGACAATACATCGTCCGGCAGCATAATAGCTCTTTTCGGTATAATTTTTTTCGGCAGCATAGATTATATCGGTTCTCGCTCCGACATCCAATCCTATTTGATCGAATTCGGATCGTCTTGTCCGGATCTTCATATCGGATTATTGTCGGATTCGGATCCCTTGGATTATATATTTATAAATATAAATATATGTAATATATATGTGTTTTTTATTTATTTATAATATATTTTTATAAATTTGTTATATTGTTTTTTTATAAAAACATGTATATATATGATGAAAGTAATTAAAAATACTTGTATCTTTTGTTTTTACTTCATTTAAATTAGTATATTTTTCTTTTAATAATTTATTATTTTTAAAAGAAAATAAGTCTGGTCGGATCCAAAGATCCGACTTATCAATAGGATTCAAATTCAAATCGAGTCCTATCAGATCCGATCAAATTGTCATATCAAATCGGATCCATATGAACAATGTCGAATTGGATTCGAATATACCCTTATTCAAATCCAATCTGTTTGCATCCCTAGCTCTGTATCCTTTTGTTTTAGATAAATGAAAAGTAAATAATATAATTAAGAAACAAGAGAATGGACAAAAGGGTTTAACCAGCTACAAGGGGAGTTCTAAATGCAATGATGAACCAATGTTTTAAAAACCGGATCGGACACATAACTGTTTTGGGATCAATTCCTGGGATTGAATGAATGGCCTATTCTGGTTTAAAATTTAAAAAATTAAAAAAAAAAGCCAAAAACCGTTGTCTATATCAATGGTTCAATCACTTGAGTCAACAGGTCGCTGACCAAACCAACATTTTTAACCAGTTCCTAGATCATGTAATCTGGCCATCTGATCTAGTCTAGTTTTCAAAACCATCCAATCAACTAAAGACTTAGCCTCTTGGGCAATGATATGATTTGGCTTAGTGTAGAGCTCGTTCGGATCACCTGCCAAAAGAACACATTCCAACCCTCTACCAACTTAATCTAACACCACACATCTCACCATGAGACTGAGACCTGCCATGGATTAGATGTGTGGTGTGAGATTAAGTTGGTAGAGGGTCAGAACATGTTTTATTGGCAGAAAATCTCAATTCCTCAATGTAGTATTGAGGCTTGTAAACAAAATTTACAACTGAAAACAATTTATCCAAGTTCCCAATTCTATAAAACAAAAAAGAAAAACGCCAAGATATGATAGCTTCCTTTCCTTGCTTCCATTGGCACTTTGGCATAAGAGAATTGTTAGCTCCCTCCAACATCTACCATTAGCAAGAAATATGGCTTCCCAAACTGTTGCAAATTCAGCTTCAATTGGGTCATGAACAAAACCCACCTTGCCCTGTGTAGCAACAATAAAATTAAGTAAGTTAGACGCAAGCTCCATATATTCCACATTTATATTTCATCACTCCAACATCACATATAACATAATAACTATTAGGGAGAAAAATAATTTGAGACGGCTAAAGAGTTATTACTATTAAAATGTGGATTAGGAACATCACTCAAATTACATTGCATTATTATTCAATCAATTTTCCTTAACACCCAAAAAGCATTACTATCCAATTTCTTAAAAATTACACCATTCTTTATTTCTCACACAAAATACCAAGCCATAGCCAACCAGGATAATAAATTACATTACTCTTGCTTATTTGAGTTATTTCCAACAAGCTAGTGAGGAAGATTCAACAAATCATGCAAATTTGACATTTATTATGGTAAATAGCTAATTGAGCAGGGACTAACAAATAACAAATAGACAATTGAGCTTCATTATCATAATTACAAAAAGGACACAAATGATCGTTCAAAATCGATATAATTCAAGTAAAACAAAACCCCAATAAAGCCTCCACAAGAGCAACTTAAACTTATGGGATATCTTTAATTTCAAAATCCTTCTGATCCATTTCCGATCTCTATTACCCAATGGTAAATGACTTTCCTGTTAGTTCATTAAACTTCTAAGCTAAAAGGGAAAGTTCTTGAACAGTACTCTAAATTTTAAGTCAATCCCCAAACTTCAAAACATGTCTCTACAATACCCTAAACTTTCAAATTGTGTCTAATAGGTCCCTACCATTAGTTGATTGTTAGTCAACACCGTCACATGACATCATGTGTGAATTAAATAACTTCAAAATGCAAGATTACCCTTTATGATATTTTTCTAACCATTTCATCCATTTTGTCTGAGTGTTAGAATAAGGAAAGGGGGAAAATGGTTATGAAACTAGACACCGGTCAATTGTTGAAGCTCCTGCTCCCATGTTCAAGCTTCCCCGTTCAACGATCAACTGTAACTGGCCAATCACTTGCCCAATTTCATAACCCTTCTTCCCCTTTCCTTCGTTTAATACTTAGACGAAATGGGTAGAGTGGACAAAAAAAATATCATAAAGGGTAATTTTAACATTTTGAAAATATTTAATGCGTACCTGATGTCATGTGATAGTGTTGATTGACGGTCAACTAATGATAAGGGCCTATTAGACACAATTTGAGAGTTCAGGGTATTGCAGGGACACGTTTTGAAGTTTGGGGACTAACTTGACACGATCCCCAAAGTTCAGGGAGTGCTCAAGAATTTTCCCCAACTAAAAATTTCCCACTAGAGGAGGGTGTCCAAAGAAATTGATCCTTACCTCTATAGAAAATATGTGTATTTAAAAATAATTGTTCCTATCGAGGGGAAAGATCATGGATTAATTGTTGATTCCAAAACTCAAAATCAGAAATTAAATCCTTGATGACCAGGTCTTTGTGCTCTTTAACAGGTGGCCCAATTGGAACATGGAACTTATCATTTTTCCTAGATCCATAGGAAATCCCAAACAGTCACATTTGAATGGCCATGAACTTGAACCCCTAAACTAGGGAATAGATAATATTTCATTCACCAAAGTTTTCCACAAGAAGGAAACATATAATGGAGCTTTCATTAGAATCATCTTTTTATTCTGAATGTATTTACTTTGTAAAACTCTAACCCACAAAGATTATGATTATGTCAAAAATATCCACACTCGCTAGCTTACTTAAAAGTGCCCTATTCATAAGGTTCAAATTTATAAAACCCAAACCCCATCTAATTTTGGTGCACAAAGCTTGCTTCAAGCAACCCATTTCATGTGTTTGTTGTTTCCTCCCTTATTCCACCATAATTTTCTTTGAGTTTTTTTTTTCCATTTCTTTAATTGTCTTTTGAGGGAACCTAGTAACACCCATACAATACAAAGGGGCTGTTTGAATAACTGACTTGATTAGGACATGCTTCCCAACAAAAAATTAGATAGAGATGAAGCTTTCCAATTATTAAGTTTCCTCTTGTTTTTTTCTAAAATATATTCCAAAAATTTGTGTTTTTGCTTTTTCCCATATCAGGGGACCCCAAATACTTAATGTCTTTGTTAACTAAGACATCATCATTTGTATCATAAGCATTTTGGCTCCCTTGGGTAGGGTATTCTTATTAAAATAAACACCAAAAAATTGAAAATTTATAGACAAAACCTGATATCTATTGGAGTTGTTTAAGTAAACCCACAATGTCTATAGCATCCTCATCATCAAAAACAAGTATGGGGAAATATGATCCCTTTGTCTTAGACCCCTAGAAGATGAAAAGTGACCTTTAGGAACACCGTTGATCAAAGTTTAAATTTTGGAGTAGCAATACAAGCCCATAATAAACCACACCATTCTTGAGAAAAAAAAAACAATGATTTTAGAACCCAAAACAAGTAATCCCATTCCAATGAATCATAGGCCTTTGATATGTAAAGTTTAACTGCCATAAAACCTTCCTTAGCTTTCTTAGTTTTGAGGTAATGAAATACGTATTAGGCCAACACTATATAATGAATTAGTCTACCTTGAATGGAAGCTTATTGATATGGAGAAGTGCATTTATGCATGAAGGGTTTTAACCTATTAACCAACAATTTTGTTATAATTTTATACAAAACGTTACAAATACTAATTAGCCGAAAATGCTTCACTTGATTTGGGTTCTTAACTTTTGGAACCAATGTCAAGAAAGTATGATTAATTCTTCATACAAACCTCTTATTTTAAAAAAAAAATCACAAACAAACTCATAAACTTCCTCTTCCATGATATCCCAAAAATTTTGGTAAACAATAGCCAGAAAGTTATCAAATCTTGGAGCTTTAAACCCACCTATTGACTTCCCTAACCTCCTCTAGAGTAGGCACAACTGTAGGCACTCATTATCACTTTCAGTTACAACACTCCTAAATAAACTTGTGATGCCCTTAAATTTTTTAGATCAATGTGATTTAAACAAAGTTCCGAAAGAATTAACAAAAGCCTTAACAATGCCCTTATGGTTAGAACCCATTCACCTTGATCATTTTTAATCCAAGAGATTTGGTTTCTTTGTCTTCTAGAATTTATATCCTTATGAAAAAAAAACATGTACCTTGATTCCCTTTTTGCAGCCATAATTGTCTAGGTTTTGTCTCCAATACATTTCCTACTAAGAGAGTAGTTTCTCTCTCATACGTTTTAGCTTCAATATTTCCTCGTAATTTTCTCAAACATGAGTGTTCTCCTCCAAATTGATTACTTGCTCATTTATCCATTTCACTTTGTGATTAATATTTCCAAACTTTTCTTTATTCAAAGTCTTTAGCATCTTCTTGATACTATTGAGTTATAGGTTGATATCACTTGTTTTTATTTACATAGCATAGTTAGGGAGTTATTGGGCCCAAGGCCCATTAGTTTATGTTTTAAGTTAGGAGTGTTTATTCAGTTCTTACAAGTAGCTGACCTACTAACATCATACTTGTCTTTGTACTATGTTTTTATTTGTGAGTATATAAGCTAATGAAAGGGGCAGCTAAACCTAAAATTGGCTTATCCCATTCTCTTCAATCTCTCTCATCTTTCTTTATCTACA